GTCTGCCGGGGAAACACGGGCTCTGAGGCTATACCGTGGACTTTAGACATATGGGAACCACTTAGGCCTCTATATTTGGAACCCAGCCCTCTACTGGTTCTCACGGATTCAGCGAGTGAGGGCCTGGCGCCAGACGTTCCGCTACGTCTGGCTGCCGAGGGGATGGAGGAGCTCGACAGGGCCTACAGTACGGACACTCTGGAGCAGTTTTAGCAAGCTGACACAAAACCGGGGCCTCTCAGCGCCTCTACCCGTTTAAGGTGAGAACACAGGAGGATATCTGCTCCACACGAAGGCTATAGAATCTAACGAACGTGTTGGGGGTCGCCCAGCCCGCAGCTCTACAAATATCTGTCAGTGAGGCGCCACGAGCCAGCGCCCTACCTGAGTGGCTCCGAAACGTCTCCAAAACAGCTAGACCGTCTGGGGATGGAGTCTCCATTCTCCAGGGAGCGTAGCTCGTGACAGCTCGTCGGCTGTACGGTTGAGCAAACCCGGAATGTGAATGGCACGAAGTGACCTCAGAACCTTCTGACTCCAAAGAAGGAGGTGGTGGGCAAGTTGTGACATGCGACGGGAGCGCAGACCACCTTGTCGGTTGATGTACGCAACGGTCGCCGTGTTGTCCATTCGGACCAGCACATGCTTGCCTCATAAGCACCCTTTGAGACGGTTCAAGGCAAGGCGCACTGCTAACAACTCTAGGCAATTGATATGCCAGTGCAGTTGGGGGCCCGTACATAACCCCGACACTGGGTGCCCATTGTACATGGCCCCCCAGCCGGTGGTGGAGGCATCTGTGTAAACCACAGCATGCCTGGAGAACTATTCTAGGGGCACTCCTGCCCGGAGGAATGTAAGGTCTGACCACGGGGTGAAGGTTTGGCGACAGGCCGGTGTAACTTGGACCCGGTGAGTGCCGCGCTGCCACACCCATCTCGGGACTCGGCCATGAAGCCAGTGCTGGAGTGATCTCATATGAAGCAGCCCCAGCGGCGTAACTACCGCTGCAGCTGCCATATGCCCCAGGAACCTCTGAAATAGTTTCAGTTGGAATGTTGTCCTGCCCTTGAATGAATTCAAGCAGTTCAGCGCCGACCTCGCACGTTCCTCTGTGAGGCGTGCTGTCTGTTCGACCGAATCCAACTCCATGCCGAGAAAAGAGATCCTCTGCGTCTGGGAGAGTTTGCTCTTTTCCCTGTTGACCTGAAGGCCCAATCGGCTGAGGTGCGAAAGCACCAAGTCCCTGTGTGCACACAACTGATGCGGAGACTGAGCTAGTATGAGCCAGTCATTGAGGTAGTTGGGAACGCGAATGCCCTGTTCTCTCAGGGGAACAAGGGCTGCCTCCGCAACTTACGTGAAGATATGGGGCGACAGGGACAGTCTGGAGGGCAGGACCTCGTACTGATATGCTCGTCCTTTGAGCGCAAACCGCAGAAATGGTCTGCGGCGCGGAAGGATCGACACATGAAAGTATGCATCCTTCAGGTCGATTACTGCAAACCAATCTCGGGGACGGATGCACCCGAAGATGCGTTCCTGCGTCAACATCTTGAACGGTAACCGGAGAAGGGCCCGGTTCAAGACACGCAGAACCAAGATTGGTCATAACCCACCGCCTTTCCTGGGTACAATGAAGTAAGGGCTGTAAAACCCTGTATTCATATTGGCTGGAGGGACCGGTTCTATCACATCCTTTGCCAGTAGGACTGTGATCTCCGCATGCAAGACAGGAGCATCGGCCGCCTTCACTGTCGTGAAGTGGATGCCACTGAACTTAGGGCGATGCCGGGCGAACTGAATCGCATAGCCGAGGCTGATGGGCCACAGAAGCCAATGCGACAGGTTGGGTAGCGCTAGCCAGGCACCCAGATACCATGCAAGGGGGACCAGTGGAACCACCGCCGTACCTGCTGCTGCCTGCTGGTGATGGAGGAGGATGAGTGTGGTCCGATGCTAGTCCATCCGCGACTCCTCCTGGGACCCAGGGACAGAGAAAACCGCTCTCTCGTTGAGATTTTCCAGATTCTCCACCCGGCCCTCCTCCGGGGGAGGGAGAGGTGCCTTCACCATCCCCCAAAGAGCAGCTTCCTCCCTCTCTGGGTCACCCGTCCCGGGGCCTCTCGCTCTTTCACTCACCGCCAGGTTTGATGGGGGCCTGGACAGGTGGGGCGGCCTGCCTATGCCCAGCTCCACAGCGCCGCTTGCTGGAGGCTGCTGCAG